GCAGGAAGAATGGGGGCCAAAACATCTTTCTGGATAGCCGAAGTTAGTTAAACAGCAGGTCTTTTAATGAAGACCTTAAATTGTTCATTAAAATAACATGTTGTCAGTTTTTAAAGGGAGACCAGGGTAACAGTAGCTGCATGTGTGAAAGCCGAACCGCTCCGGATATGCAGGATGTGCCTTGTTAGAAAGCATCTGTAAGTTCCATTGATTTCGGTTTGAATTCTTGAAGGAAAAAAAGAAAAAGATTTTCGAACAGTCAGGAGTAACATGAACAAGTTGGCTTCTCTGCCTGTTCACTCAGGCTTCCTTTCTCCCTGCTAATTTGCAGCGTTGAGCTAAAGTCCAGGAAAAGAAACCTATTTTGCTGCTGTTTAACATACTCTATTCACTGCCACTCTAAAAAACAACAGATAGGAAATGCCAGTAATTACAGCTTTGTCCCCATGCCCTCTTTTCCAGTTCTGTTAGATGAAATTTGCCTTTAACATTCCTTTGATTTTCTTTCATGCTAATATAAAGAAAACAAGACTTTCTATAAACACCATTTTCTTTGAGATTGTTAACCTGGTGATTAATTTAGTCATAGAGCTAAATTTTCTTTTTGGCTAATTCTCTTAATAATCTCACATTTCCAGCCTGTACTTAGACTTCCAGTCGTTAAACTGTTGGATCCAAAGCTGGTTCTTAGGGAAGCTTGTGGTGTGAATTGGAGTGACTTTGAGAGAGCGCTGCTAGGCTGGGGCTTGGGTTACTTGTGCGGCTTGTTTTGGTTGCCACTCACGGCACTGTCGCTATCAGTGATTCAGCGGGAGCCTTTTCACGTTGGTTCCTGCCTCCAGGTGACTGGATCGTGGCAAATAGCCCTCGGGAGCCATGGGCTGAAGTCCCATGGAGGGAAATGGAGCAGCCGCTGTGATGGGTGAGCACAGTCGTGGCTGGTGATGTGCAGAGTGTGACTTGGATGGCACGATGGCGGTTGCTGTCATGCAGGGTTTTGTGGAATGGATGGATTTATGGGCCCAAACCACTACGTCTATTTTAGGCAATCCAGCACCCATCCTGCTTTCCTTACCCAAGGCAGATTTTAAGGCAGCAATCCAGCGAGCACCACGAAGGTGGTGTGAGAAAGCTCGGGGAGAGCACGCAGAAATATACCACGAAGGTGGTGTGAGAACTGCAGTGACTTTTGTGCGTAGCAGCAGCCTGCAGGGCATGGAAGCTCCAAGAGCTCTTTGGCTCACCTAAAATGAGCATCTGTGAAGGCAGCGCAGTGCAGAAGAGGACTTTGTATCTGCACAACCTTTAACTTTGCTCGGATGTATGCCTCCGTCGGGAGGACTATCGGGGAAGACCAAGGGTAAAAACCAGGAAGAAAGAAGAATGGGCAACATTTCCCATTTGGGTAATTCTGCAGGGCAGCTAGAGGCCTTCGCAGATGACTGACACTCCAGGAAGGACTCGATATATCTGTATTTCCTTCATGGAAAGCTCGGGGAGAGCACGCAGAAATAAAGCGGCAGGCCCACCTAGCTCTTCTTCTCTATGCTGCGTTTCTGGACGTGCCCACAGTCTCCAACTTCTGCGTGAGGCCACCCTCTCCAGGCTGAATGATGAACGACCAGTGCCGCAACATGGGGCATCCCCCAGGCGCCATGCCATATTGGAGCGCAATAAATTCATAATGTCC